GACTTTACAACTTTCCATACTGGTTATAGTTAAAAAAACACAATTATTTAACTACACAATAAACTTTTGGATTAAATATAAATTTTAAACATTTTAATTATAAGTTTTATGTCTTCAATTTTTTAAGAAAATTTTAGATGCTTGATGCTCTATCCTACTAAATCGAGTACAACTTATTTAGTTTTATATTTTATGAAAGTGTACTATTTTCTCGAACCCTCCAATGGACCAACGTAAATAGTACCATGATACGTTTTTTATACCCTCCACCATAGTATGGAGGGTATATTAATTTTGTTTTTCCGTTTGTAACTCATCGAAATAGTCATTTCCGACCCTATAGACCCTATACTTGATCAGCGTAAAATTCTATGACGATATAGCCATGTCCGTCTGTCTGTCTGTCTGTCTGTTGTAATCACTCTAGCGTCTAAACGAATTGAGATAGATCGCCAAAATTTTGCAGTCGTCTTTTGACTGCAGGCAGGTCAAGTTCGAAGATGGGCTTTATCGGCCCACGTTTAGGCATAGCTCCCATATAATGGTATCCCCCAATTTTCGGTATTTTGAGGTTCTTGAGCTCGTTTTTCAACTGAATTCGCTGAAATTTAATACATTGAGTTCTTATTGGGTACTAAACGTATCCACTAAAAATTATAAATATGGGTCCATATTTTCGGATAGCACCCATATAAGGGTATTCCCAATTTTGTCTTATTTTGGGTGGTTTGATCGCATTTTTCTACCGAATTCGCTGAAATTCGGTACTTTGAGTTCTTATTGGGTAGCAAATCTCTATACTAAAAATTATAAATATAGGTAAATTTTTCGGGAAGCCCCCATATAACGGTACCCCCCAATTTTCGGTATTTTAGGGTTCTTGAGCGCGGTTTTCAACCGAATTTGCAGAAATTTGGTACATTGGGTTCATACCAAATTTCAGATATCTATCCCTACCTGTTCGGTCGTAGTATAATATTTAGTACTTTTTAGTACCTTTAGAACTTATTTCCAAAATGTGTTCGCACATTCTGATTTGTTTATCATTGACAAAGCTGCATATCAAATTTCAGAGTTGTAGTTCTATCCGTTCCAGCGTAATACAGTTTTTAGTACTATTTAGTACAATTATAGTACTAAAAAATACTTTGCACATCATTCTCTTTGTAATAGCTTAGACTATATACCAAATTTTAGTTATCTACCCCAATCTATTCTATTCAATATAATATTTAGTACATTTTAGTACCTTTAGTACTAATTTCCAAAATTTGCTTATCATTGAAAAACCTGCATACTAAATTTCAGAGTTCCACCGTTCTGGTGTTATACAGTTTTAGTACTTTTTAGTACCATTTTAGTACTTATTTTTGCAAATCATTATATTTGGATTAGTTTAAGCTGCATACCAAGATTTGTAAATCTACCTATTCCGTTCAAATATAATGTTTAGTACTTTTTAGTACCTCTTAGTACTAAATTTAAATTTTTTTTTACACATTCCACTTCGATCGTCATAGACAAAGCTACGTACCAAATTTCAGACTTCCACGCCTAACCATTCCCACAGTTCTTTGTACTTTTTAGTGACCTTTAGTACGAATTTTAAAAAGACCCTGCCTTATCACACGCCTACGCACCAAGCCCGACCTACATGCCAAATTTTATGTTTCTAGCTTTAGCCGCTTCGCCTTTGCGTTGATGATCAGTCAGTCACTTATAACGCAACTCATTTATATATATTGGTATAGGAAATGAAAGAGGTGTTTATATACTAAACAAAAACACATAAGAAAACACGATTCAGAGGTGATCGATATACCATCCATCAGAAGTGAGCATTCAAATTCAAATCCTACACACATTCCACATTTCGTCTTAATCGCACAAACTTTGGGATATGTGTGCGATTTTACCGATTTACATAAAGTCGGACGAAACTATATAGATTTATTATTCTAGAAATTGGTGCACCATTTACATAAGCTTATTCAGTTCACTGTGTCAAATTTTGTCTCAATCGGAACAAAAATGTGACATCGTTGAACTATTGGGGAATCGGACAAACCTATATATGGGAGTTATATCCAAATCAGAACGGAATTTCGTTAAATCCAATAGGGTTCGTTTCTGGGCCAAATAAGTGGGCAGTGCACATTTCATCCAATTCGTATCATAAATGCGACCTGTAGATTGTTTTATCTGACACCTTCGGATGAATAGAGACACTCATACGGAATTTCAAGATTTTTAGCTTCGTCTGGGCATTGATGAATCATTAAGTCAGTCAGTTAATCTATTTTAATTCGTATTCTCTTCTGTATTATTTTGCTTCATTATGATGGTTGTACAATATATCCGATATCCAGCGAAATGGGCGCCATCTATTACCCGAATAGCTGGAAACAGGGAAAACCGTTGTTCAATTAGTTACCAATGTCGATAATGCCGTTCAGTGATAGACTAACATTTCGAATTTACTATAAAAGGTTTGCGAACATGTATTTCGCACATCGCCATCTATATGTCATACATAAGCATATCAAGTCTCCACAGTCATTAGCAAGGGCCACAACCTGCGGCGAATTTAGAAAAACAATGTGTCGGAGATAAGCAAAAATACCAATCCAATCAAAGTATAATTATAGCTAGACTGCTCGCAATATTTAAGATTGCGATTTACAATTTGGTACTACTCCAAGGATGCTAGGTATTGAAAATGATTTGAGATGGTATTTACCGGGTCAATACCCATTTGGGGGTATTTATTTGGGTATCTCCAATATTTCCAAATATTTCCTCTGTTATAAAAATATTTCCTCTGTTATAAACTCGATTCAGTTTCAGTTTCATAATAATTTAAACATGTGGGTAAAAAACCTAGTATTTACCCAAATATTGGGTATAAACTAATTAATTGGGGAATCAGTAGACGTGGGTTGCCAAAATTTGGTCCACATATTTATACCCTTCACCACACTGTGGTACAGGGTATTATGTCTTTGTGCATATGTTTGTAACAGGCAAAAGGAAACGAGATAGACACATGGTTCCTTTTGAGAATATGCATAGAATCACTTTCTAAGTCGATTTGTGCATGTCCGTCCGTCCGTCTGTCTGTTTTTGTGAGCAAAGTACAGGTCGCATTTATGATCCGAATTGGATGAAATTTGGCACAGCTCATTTGTTTGGCCCAAGGACGAACCCTATTGAAAAATCGTTTCAGATTTAGATATAGCTCCCATATATATATTTAACCGATTTAATGTAAACGGTCCCTATATATCTTTCGATTTGCACGAAATTTGGTACAGCCTAATCATTTAGGTCTAGAATGATGTCTGCCAAGTTTCGTGAAAATCGGTCAAGATTTAGATATAGCTCCCATATATAGTTTCGTCCGATTTCATGTAAATGGTGCACCAAAGTCCCTATATATCTTTCGATTTGCACGAAATTTGGGATAACGTACTGGGTTGAGCCTAGAATGATGTCTGCCAAGGTTTGAGAAAATCGGTTCAGATTTAGATATACCTCCCATACATAGTTTCGTCCGATTTCATGTAAATGGTGCCCCCAAAGTCCCTATATATCCTTCAATTTGCAAAAAAATTGGCATAACGCACTGAATTGAGCCTAGAATGATGTCTGCCAAGTTTTGAGAAAATCGGTTCAGATTTAGATATAGCTCCCATATATAGTTTCGTCCGATTTCATATAAGTGGTGGCCCAAAGTCCCTATATATCTTTCGATTTGCACGAAATTTGGCATAACGTACTGAGTTGAGCCTAGAATGATGTCTGCCAAGGTTTGAGAAAATCGGTTCAGATTTAGATATACCTCCCATACATAGTTTCGTCCGATTTCATGTAAATGGTGCCCCCAAAGTCCCTTTATATCTTTCGATTTGCACAAAATTTGGAATATCGTACTGAATTAAGCCTAGAGTGATGTCTGCCACGTTTCGAGAAAATCGGTCCAGATTTAGTAAATTTAAATGGTGCCATAAAGTCCCTATATGTCTTTCGATTTGCACGAAATTTGGCATAACGTACTGAATTGAGCCTAGAGTGATGTCTGCCAAGTTTCGAGACAATCGTCCGATTTCGTCCGATTTCATGTAAATAGTGCACCAAAGTCACTATATATCTTTCGAAATTTGGCATAACGTACTGAATTGAGCCTAGAGTGATGTCTGCCTTGTTTCGTGACAATCGGTCCAGATTCAGTCCACTGGCACCAAGGAACCAGTGGACTGATAGGAACAAAACGTTCTGAAATTAGTATAACCTAACCTGTGACAAGTTTGTTTGAAATCGCTTAATATTTGGATAGAGCTTTCATATATATTTTCGCCCGATTTCAAGTAAATTGGGCATCAAACTCCTCAGTTAATCAGATTGACATCAAATTTTGCACAACTTACTAAATTGAGCATAGAATTACGTAGTTGCGATTTGTAGAAGTACAGACATAGCCCAACGGATGACCTATTTAGATTTGTTTGAAGTCGATTTACATACTTTATGGATAGATCTAGGTAGATCCACATTTAGATAAATATCACATATTTCATTTCATCCAATTTCATGTTAATAGTCCTCTTTAATATACCTATAGTGGTGAAGGGTATCATATAGTCGGCCCCGTCCGACTTTACTACTTTCCTTACTGGTTTTAATATAAAAATGGATACTGGTATGGAAAATGGAGACTCTGGGTCCATGTTTTGATATAGCCACCATATAACCATACCTCTCGATTTAATGTGGACATACGTCGCTAAATTTTTACATGAATACATGTAGTAACCGTAGGGAACTCTCTGTGCCAAATTACAGCCAATTTGATTGTAAAGTGTCGCCAATTGATAAAAATGACCTTACCAAAATTTGGTATTTAACCAATTTTCCGGGTATTTGCCCATTGGGTATAGCATATCCACTAAAAATTGTAGTTTGTTATCTACTCAAGGTGGAGTTCGTCTTTTGCATTTAATTTATTTGAATAACAATTGATTTAGATTTTCCAACAAATTTCTATTATTAAATTTAAAAATTGCATATTTATCTGGTAAATCGGAACACTCGTCATGGCTATACATTAATATGACATTTTGACCTTCTGTTGCAAGTTTTCGGCAATGCAAATACGACAGACCACAAAGAAAACCCTTCAACACAAATTCACGATGTCTCTTCGCCATATTCTGATAAAGATATATTACATTGTGATAAAGAGACACAAAATCAGCAGATGACTTTGTTGGAGATATGAAATGAATTGGAACTTTTGGACGAAAGTGTGCAAGTTTAATTGACATATCAGGTAAAACGGCACATATAAGTATTGCTGCGGCATTACATTCCAGCGATGATGCTACACAGGCCCTGGCAATACTATCACTGCCACTTTGAGATTCATCACAATACAACGGTGTGGAGGACCACAGCGATGGAATTATGTGTTGGAATACAGCACGTTGTAATAAATGAAAACGAAATGATTCATGACCACCCTGATCAGCTTTAAATATATATTTATCGGCATAATAGAAAATCTCATACCAGTTGTTTGGATCCACAAAAAGCTGATTTTTTGCAATGAGCGTGGTATTCATAATTATGGCCTTCTTTTGTTGGTAGATATTCCTTATAAAATCTTTAGCTGCGGATGATAGATACAAAATCTGAGAATCTGTGGCAGCATGCTGTAATGAATTTCCTTGATATTCCTCTTGTTTAGGAGCCATGGTGTATTCCATAACAAACATATCATAACCATCCACTATCCATTGTACATCTTCACTATTGTGGATTTCATTTAACACCACTCTGCAACCAAGACGCATATTTTCACATTCCAAAAGTTGTAGCACCTCCTGTAACTCCTTCAAATATAATTCAGTGCCCGGTATATAGGACACCAATACATTGATACCCATTTCCCGGGCAAATGTAATATCCTCAATTTCTTCAACTGAAACTCTACTGCGATTGCATCTACCAGGAAAACGTACGGGAGATTTTGAATGTAATATACCTGGTTGCATTACCTCACAGTTTAGATCCCCGGAGATAATGGAAATTATACGAACTTGAAGAGTGTGACCAATCAGAATAAAATCACCCAAGTGGCATTCATCAATTAGAAAACGTCCATTTACGTAGATCTTCGTTTTGCTCCCTTTTAAAGAATACTGACGATCTGTAGTTAAGGTGAGTAGTTCACCCTTTTCGATTTTATAAACATCATTTGGCTCTGTGAATATCCCTGTGTATTGACAACGAGGACTTAACATGGCAAACAAGCTGACATTCACGGGAAACCCCAATTCTTCAGATATTTTCATTTCACAATTTCGTAAATTGAAAATCAATTTTTGTTTATCGATTTCGCTACCCAAAAATAAATCCACATAAAAGCAGCAAATACCTTCACGTAAGTATTCTTCCAAGGTACCAATATCACAATTTTTATGATCAAGTTCCACACATTGCTTGTTTCCATTTAAATGGAGTTTTTCATCTCTATTCAATATTTCATAGCCATTGAAATATCCTAACCAGGCATCTTCAGACACTTTTTCACATTCAATTGTTACCTTTTCAAATTCTTCTTCTCCCAGAGAATATTCATCGCTGTCATCATTCAGTTTTGGAGAATATTCAGCATTTTGGGTTGAAATATAGTTTTTATTTTTCACAATATGACCATTGGAATCATATTCTCCGTACTTCTCCAAAATAGCCCTCTGCTGCAATTGAACTAAAGTTATATGGGCATGTCGTATTTTTCGCAAGGCGGAGGGATTTAATTTTTGCGATAATCGTTTGCTAATTTCTGCCAAAGGAACTAAATGGCTTGACATTTTTTTTGAACAAGAAATTATGAAAAAATACTGATAATTAGTCCTGATTTATATTAGGCGAGTTTACTTGCGTCAATTTTTATCGTTCTCTTTTGAACTTGCTTTATGCGTCTATAAAAGGCAATTCGGTTTCCAAAATATTTTTTTATTTGTTGTTTTTTTTACATAAAATGTCAACAAATACGAAATACACAAAACGAATTGCCAGAAAATTGTCGGTACGAGCAATTTTTTTTCATTTCTATTCCCCTTGCCCTCGCCTAATCTAAATTGGGACTTAAAAAAAATAGTTTACAAGATTCGTTCCAGAACCTACATATTTTGTTAACAGTCAAAATTGTTGACCAGACCAAATTTTTTCACTGAATGATGAGGTGGACAGTCCAAAAGTGGCGAGCTATGCAATTTTTGGTAGGAAGATTTGGCACCCAATGATAATCAACGTTTGGTGCCAAATCTTCCGGAAAATTAAAAAAAAACAATAAGGACAGTTAAAAAGTCGAACGAGACCGACTATATGATACCACTTTGGATACATACAAGAGATGCTAATATATACAATACCCTGTAAATAAAACAGACATATAATTTTTAGAGGACCATTGAAATGGAATGGGGCGAAACTAAATGTGTGATCTACAAAAAAATTTGAACCAAATAAAAACCAGTAAGGAAAGTAGTAAAGTCGGACTGGACCGACTATATGATACCCTTCACCACTTTGGGCACATTCTACATATGTATCCTAAAAGACGTCGCCTTTTCGAAGGAACATTGTGATCTTTATCTATCTCTAAACCGACTAACATCAATCCCTACACATGTCATTCTACAACCTATGCTAAATTTTGTACATCGATTTAAAGAAAACTTGACACAATCAATCTATTTGGTGTACAATAAACATGAATAAGTCGAAATTATATATGGAAGCTATATTATATCTGGACCGATTTCAAGGAAACTTGCCAGAGATTAATTTATATTAACTTCAGTACGTTGTGTCAATCGGCTTAACTATGGATCTTTATATAGGAGGTGTATGTAAATCTGAACCGATTTTCACGAAACTCTGCACATTTCATTCTATACTTAATTCAGTACGTTATACAAAAATTGAAAGATTAAGGGGGCTTTTGGTGGGGCATTTACATAAAATGCGGCTTTTACATAAAATTCGTGCAAATCTAATGATTTTCAGGGACTTTGGTGCAACATTTACCTAAAATCGGGCGAAACTATATATGGGAGCTATATCTAAATCAGAACCGACTTTCACGAAACTTAGTATACGTCATTCTAGACATAATTCAGTATGCTATGCGAAAATTATTGCAAATCTAATGATTTTCAGGGTTTTTGGTGCACCATTTACTTAAAATCGGGCGAAACTATATATGGGAGCTATATCTAAATCTGAACCGATTTTCACGAAATTTAGCACACATCATTGTAGACGTAATTCAGTACGGTATGCCAAAAATTCGTGCAAATCGAATGATTTTCGGGGACTTTGGTGCACCATTTACCTAAAATCGGATGAAAATATATATGGGAGCTATATCTAAATCTGAACCGATTTTCTCCAATTTCAATAGGGTTCGTCCTCGGGCCAAACAAATGAGCTGTGCTAAATTTCATCCAATTCGGATCATAAATACGACCTGTACTTTGCCTACAAAAATACATGGACGGACGGACAGACAGACGGACATGCATAAATCGACCTAGAAAGTGATTCTATGCATTTTCTCAAAAGGAACCATGGGTCTATCTCGATTATTTTTGCCTGTTACAAACATATGCACAAAGACATAATACCCTGTACCAGAGTGTGGTGAAGGGTATAAAAATGGGGTTATCTGGGACTACCCTTAAAAAGTGGTGAATATTAATATTTTTTGGTGGGGAGATTTGTTACCAATACCAATTTTCAGCGAATTCGGTTGAAAAACGCGGTCAAGAACCTCAAAATATCAAAAATTAGGGGTACCCTTATATGGGGGCTACCCGAAAAAATTTACATATATTTATAATTTTTGTGGAGAGATTTTCTACCCAATAAGAACTCAAATTACAAAATTGCAGCCAATTTGGTGAACAAATCAGGTCAAAACTCTCAAAAAATGCAAATTGGGAGGTACCCTTATATGGGGGCTACCCGAAAATATGGACCCATATTTATAATTTTTAGTGGAGAGATTTGCTACCCAATAAGAACTCAATGTACCAAATTTCAGCGAATTCATTTGAAAAACGCGCTCAAGAACCTCAAAATACCGAAAATTGGGTGGTACCCTTATGTGGGAGCTATGCCTAAACGTGGACCAATAAAGCCCATCATCGAACTTGACCTGCCTGCAGACAAAAGACAACTCTATGCAACATTTTGGCGATCTATCTCAATTCGTTTAGACGCTAGAGTGATTACAACAGACAGACGGACATGACTATATCGTCATAGAATTTTACGCTGATCAAGAATATATATACTTTATTGGGTCGGAAATCATCATTTCGATGAGTTACAAATGGAAAAACAATATTAATATACCCTCCATATTATGGTGGAGGTTTTAATAAGGTCGGATTTAACCCTAAAATAAGTTCTAATATTTTTTAGATTTTTGACGTTAATGGATGATTTTTGAGTTTTGTTTCACTCTGAGACTTACAGTAAAACACTATGGCAAACATTTTTGTAGAATATTTTGATCTGCTATAACCCCATTTTAAATAAGTTTTCAAACAATTATGGAAAGGGGAAATGAAAAACCCCCACCTTTAGAGCACCCCTTTAAGCAACTCTGCTGCTGCTCTCTTCGATTCCCTTTTGAATTTCTTCCCGCTTGTCTCTTTTTATACCTCTCACTTCTAAGAACTCCGCAGAGTTGCATACAAAAGTTGCACGTATAAACCCAGACTAAAAAGCTGTAGCAGATTGCGTACAAAAATTGCATGTTTAAACC